GATTCTACGAGATTTCAGAAGGACTGCTTTCACCCCTACGCCATCTAGCGGCAGACCCTCAAAGCTGGTATTCCCCATTTGAGCTTCTCGCTCTTTCTTTTCTAATTCAAAGCGTTCTTTCTCGAAGACCATCTTGTCTTTGGGCAACTGACGTAATCTGCTGATGAATCAGTACGGCACTTCTTAAGTGGCGGCATGTTGTCGCAGTTTTCAGCTGAAAAAAATAAGCGTGTCACCAATTAATGCAGCGTCAGTTTTTGTTACTGATATAATGAAATTCAATAAATATTTGCTATTAGAGACAATTTCATGTATAGAAAGATGTGCTGTCTTTACTTTTATTTATTATTCATTTATTCAAATACACAAAACAGGACGCAACGTGACTTTCGAAACAAAGCTTCATAAAATTTGTATTAAAAGTCAAGGAGACCTGTCCTGTCAACTAAAGGAGAAAATCGAGCTACTAGTAGTATCTTACTAAACGGCACTTACTTTGCGGATATCCTGCTTGTTGTGCGTCAAGTGCAGACGGCTAGTCTACAATTGCTCACAAAATAATGACTTAGCAGTCTTATAATACAATCAGTCACGCATGCGGAAGGCCAGTTCTGCCTGCCTTGTGGTCAGTGGAAAATGCCTTTTTTACGGGTATAACCTATATTTCAATAGTAACAAAAACATAGACACAAATAACAGAGACAAAATGTTTCACATGTATTGCAAAAATAAAATGTCCAATATGAATTAGCAGAGAAAAGATAAATTTTGAAAGTCTTGATTTCATAAAATTATGCTGATTTGTCAAACCGTTCTTCATTGACGGGTATCAATCTAGCTTGAGATATAATAAAAATGATAGTGTTCAATGAATTAAAGAATTTGTAGGTTTTGATGAATATATGTCTTTGTTTGTGTTTGTGAGGAGTAGAGGGGGTACAAGCGCGTGCGTGCACATGTACTGATTCTTACAAATGCGTGCCTTCTGTTTTTCAGAGTGGCCATATGGTTTCGTTAAGCTCGGTGGCAGCTGCTATTATATCTCGACAGCTAAGAAAATTTGGCTCCAAGCTCAGGAGTACTGTCAAAGTCGCTCTGCCAATCTGGCCACTATAACTTCCAAAGCCGAAAATGAAATAATAGGGGACAATTTAACAGGTAAGCTCCTTTGCATTTAATCGAACAGATAGTTTATTATTAAAAGTGGCGATTTTCAAAATATGTCAAAAAGCACTTTGATAGTGTAAGGAAATCTGATGAAGTTCAGTGGTACCTTATCATTTTAATGTTGTTTATTTAACAGAGTAGGACAAACAGGATATATTTAAGTGGGTTGGAAGTAATGTAAGGGGTGAAAATGCATTCAGAAAAATTGCAACGGATGGCGGCAGTAGATAAGACAGCCTACTTCCTGCGTTTGTGGCCTCGTTTAACATTTTTTTTAATAAAAAAGTTCTGTTGCTTATTGTGTGGCTTTGTTTATAATAAAGCCTTTTTTTTGCTACATTTTAGATTCAGTGTTTCACTGGTGGATATGTGCTAACAACCGGGAGAGCGAGGGTACATGTAGATGGGTCTGGGTGGCCACCAACACCACTCTTACCTTCACCAACTGGGCGAATGATGAACCTAATAATAAAGACGGAAAAGAGCATTGTTTATTGATCTACTTGCAAAAGTATAACTCCAAGTACCATGCAACATGCACTATTAACTCCAAATTTGTCTGTGAACGCTCCCGAATATGACGTCAAGTTCAATCCCAGTAGTAAAATGACCAGGTCATACCTGTATTGCATCCCCCCTGCTACACCCTAGCTTCCCCCCATTTTGACTATTGCTAAAGTTCGTAATGTTAGCCAAGAGCCCTGTCAGACGCAATTGTCACAAATTTGGTGATCTTGTCTCTCCTGGTTTCCTGAGTTTAGATAGTCTCTGGGAACAACAGCATGCTTAAAGTAGAGAGTAGAGTTTTTATTGATCTCTGGAATTTAGCGTGACAGGCTATGACGCACGAGAGGATAAGGTTCACCTCTGTACAGAGTTCAACGGAGGGCTGACGTCTATCAAAAAAGCAGTTTATTTGATTATTGAAATTAAATTGTTCTTGAAAATTACTAAAAAAGCATAAGCGAAATGGCAATCTACGCAGACAATTTTTCTAATAATCGTATGCATGGTGGATAGTAATGGCTGTCAAATGAGCAGGCTACTGCAATGTACAGGTAGCTGATTTTATTTCTGATTTTTTCCTGAAACTTCATAGTTACGGTTATAATCTTCGAATTATTTTCCACTCAAGCAATATAAAGATAGCAAGAACAGCTTAAGTATTTTAATACTTAATTAAAATTCAATTAAACTTTTCCTGTCTCTTGTAAGTACACACTTAGTCCAGGTAATCTAAGCCATTTTAGGGCCAAACCTCAAAGTAATTGCAACAGTTTTTTATTTTACCACAATGCTTTTTTAAGTCCCCAAAATGACTTACTAAAAGTCCTAAGGAATCCTAGCATGGGAAATATGAAAAAAAAAAAAACAAACAAAAAAAAAAAAAAACAAGATGGCCGCCAATGTCATAGAAATACATGAACAGCAGGGATATGAACTACAAGCACGGAGATTAAGTGCCCACAATCAAATTTAGATTGTTAATAAGTGTTTTCTATATCTTCAATACCCCTATATCACATTTATGAAAGAGTAAAGTTGTGTTTCCCTCAGCACTTTAAGAAATCCAAGATGGCTGCCGTTTTCTATAGAAATTTATGAGTTTAAACTATAAAAATACCCGAAGGATAATGTTCATTTGCAAATAAAGTTTGTTTCAAAATGTTTTCCAAACCACTATTCCCCTTTTGATATATATATCTGGTGGGTAACAAGTGGATTACAGTGTGTAACCTTGGATATTTTGAGAAAATCCAAGATGGCCGCAATTTGCCATTGGACATGGGTTCTTACTACTCTCAGGTATATATAGTGTCCATTGTGAAATTAACTTTATTTCTCAGTGTTTTCCTTTACTTTATTACTCCTTTAATATATATCTGTCGGATAACAAGCATGTTTGAGAAGGATTTTTGAAAAAACCAAGATGGCCGCCACTTACCATTAGAATACTTAGATTTCAGCTACTACCTGGGATATTTATTGTCCGTTTTCAAAGGCAGCTCCATTCTGAGTATTTTCCACATCTTTATTATTCGTATAACATATATGTGGTGTGTGACAATTATATATGGTTGGGTATTTAATTAAAATCCAAGATGGCCTCCATTTTCAACTACATGTACACCAAGGGGGATACATGTACAGAAATAAAAATCTGTTTATTCTTCAGTGCTTTTCATAGTGTCAATACTCCCATGATATATATGAAGTGGCTTACAAGTGGGTATGTTAGAGCATATTGAGAAAATTCAAAATCGATGGCCTCCATTTGCCACAAGATTACTAGTACATGGAGTTTCAATTTCTGCCCGGGTTATATGGTGTTCATAATCAAAATATTTCGGTGTTTTTATCACATTTATCACCACTATGATATAAATCTATTTGGTGACAAGTGTGAATCCTTTAGTATTTTGAAAAAAGCCAAGATGGCTGACATTTGATATATCAACACCCATTCATGGGTCTCTTTTACCCACTCTCATTCTCAAAATTCTGAGAGATGCCCAGGGCCCAGGGCCCAGATGTGTCTACCGCCAGAGAAACATATGGGGTCAATAATGATAAAGTGAAATTCACTTTGTTTCTTTTTTTAAACATCTTTATTGTATCTGTGATATATATTTGGTAGATAGCAAGTGTGTATCCTTGTGTATTTCGAGAAAATTTTAAATACCTGTAGCTGTCATTACCTCCGCCAAGAAGGTTATGTTTGCATCCCCGTTTGTTTGTTTGTCAGTCTGTTTTTCAGTTATGGACCGATGTTGATGAAATTTTCAGAAAGAGTCAGACGTGGTCCAAGGAACAGATGATAAGTTTTTGGTGGTGATCCTGATCAATAATCAATCAATAATTAAAAATATCGAAAATTTAGGGGTGAAACGGCATTAGATAGAGCATTTGCTGCCTTGGCGAAGGTCTGCGCTCTCTTACTGCTTTTCTAGTTAATAAAAAGTATACATCCTTCTCAAATGAAGGTACCGTAACTTAAGTTTGTTTTTCAGTTTTTACTTATCCTTATCTCTTCTGTGTGCATATCTGCTGGATACCAAGTGTTCATTTTAACAAACTCCAAGATGGCTTTTATTAACCTTAGGAATAGCAGTACATTAGGTTTCAATTGTTGCTAGGGGGATATGAGTTAAATATCAAATTAGTTTTGTTTGTCAATGTTTTCTCACATCCTTAATATCCCTTTGACAAACATCCGTTGTGGATCAAGTGTTTTCACTTCGGTTTATGAGAAAACTTATAGGTGACTGCCAATTATATCAGGAAAACTAGTATATCCTCATTTCCTAAAACACATGGCGGACATCTTTTTTTTTCTCGGAATTCTCAAAGATATACACTATTAACATACCAGATGTTTATCATAGCATCATAGGGGAGATAAAAGTATGGAAAATACTGACAAACAGACTAAAGTTTATTACATACAATAATGAAATCTTCGTCTCCCTGGCAGTAATTGAAACCCATGTACTAGTATTTTGAAGGAAATGGTGGCCATCTTGGATTTCCTTGCAATAAATGTACCAAAGGTAACATGTTTGTTCCCAACCAAAATTTTAACTTACTTTCACAAATATGATACAAAAGCATCTCGGATATAATAATGTACTTCAGTATTTGAGAGACTTTTAATTGTTTTCTTCCCTTTTACGCCTGTTGTCTGATTTTAAAGTTCATTGATCTGATCTTGACTCGGAAATATTGTCAAAGCCCAAATTTGAAAGGGGCGCCAGTTTGCAAAAAATGTTCTCTAAACAGTCACAAACCCGATGTAACAGGGATTTTAAAGAACAGAAAATGGTGTAACTTACTTGTTGCTCTTCCTGTTAATGGGTAAGAGAGAGTATCGTTGTGTGTAGGCAAATGTTCACCCTATATCTGTGTCACACCTTTATAGCAACGCCTCCTAGTGCTATCACACTACTTGATCTCACCTTTAACAAAGGGCCACCTTTTCTCTTCCCGGCACAGTAATTAGGGCGCTGTTCATAGTGTGCTGACTTTACTACTGGTTTCACAAGTGTGGCTTGGCCTTAGATGACGCGGCGCACAGAACGAGTGAACTCTTTTCTCTAAGATTATTTCGGTGAAAATATTTTACTTGCGTCGAGGTTTTGGCTGTTGTGAACATTTTTAACAACTTTTTTTCTTTTCCATCAAAATTATACGTAGTCATTATATGTGAAATGTTTGATGTTTGGGGGGGGTCACAGTAGACAACTTCCGTAATATTGGTATTAATTTTACGGTACACGGTTGCAGTGGTTGACAGCGTCTGTCACACCTAACAGAATGGAGCTGACGCTTCCCAAAAAGCGCATTTAATGCAATGCATGTAATCCATCAAATCATGCCATACGCTAAACTGACAAAGACTGAACATTTGGATAAAATAACACAGATGACCTCATTTCCTACACTACATTATAAAAATGTGTAGACTCTTTAAATAATTTTGCCTAAGACTGGAAGCAAAAATAGCACAAAGTACATACCATGAGGCAACTATACAGTAATATCTTTAAAAATATGCACCATTTCAGTTAAATTTAAAGAGTCTACACATTTTTAAAATTGGCTAAAAGGGATCTTCACGGTGCACGTGCCGATAGGTGGGAAACAACAATAAGAGCAGGAAGAAAATCTTGTTAGGGTTTGTGAAAGGGAGGAGAAATCAAATGGAATATATGAGTTTAATTATTGGTAATCTAATAAAATGTTAGGAAAACCGAAGATACATTTACTGCATATAAATTTCAAGCATGGCTTATCCCTGGTGCAAATTTATTAGTATATACGTCCCCAAATTTATCATTAAACTAAAAGTGTGACATTGTGACACATGATACTGTAGTGTCTGTCTACACATAGATTTCCAGTTGTCTGATATATGAGCGGTATTTTTCTGCAAACTGGATCGGTTGTCTGTTTTTATAAATATGTCATATGAAACGGGCACATTTGCTAAATTTAGTGTCGGGCGTACTACTAAGGGAAATTCATATCTACAGTACAGGTGAATTTTGAGCATAAAAATATATGTAAAACAACAGCATCACTGTTTCCTCTGGGGTCAATGCCCAAAGCATTTTTCTTTTTAAATGTGGTTTGCTCAAAATTAGGGTTGGTTGTGTTCCTTTAACCAACTTATCGATTTAGTCTGACCCACCGGAGAGATGTTCGGGTAAATCTACCTGTGGCATATCACTAACTAGCCTAGCATGTGATTTCATAGAATAGTTCCCGTATAATACAAAAACATCAGATAACTATGAATCACACAGTCAAACACATGCTCGGTGGTTTCACGTGAAATGACAGTGCGTCCTATTATGTTAATATATTATGCATTATGTAAGAGGTTACTATAAACTCTCCTTTTTTACCCAGCATACATCTGTCATTTCCAGTAATTCTTCCCTAGACTGGCTCCCCAGACAAACAGCAAAAAAAAAAAAAAAAAAAAAAAAAAAAAAAAAAAAAAAAAAAAAAAAAAACCAGTAGAAATCATAAATCAACGAATGTAAATACAGTTTGCTGAACATAAAATTTGCACCAATGTTGAAGATGCTAACTGGTTCAGAAAGCGCGTCGTCTTAGATTCGGTGAAGATAATGGAGGCAACGCCCACTTTTGATCACATGTTTAATGCCATCCAATACAATTGCAACAAGTATCTGAAATATAAGATCAATCCCCTCCCATTGCTATTGGATAAAAGAGTGCTCTATCCACGGCGTGGTAGACAATATTCACATTTGTTGGTTTATATGGTCTGAGAATGGCAGTGTTCTTTTTGTCATCATTTGTGCTCTTGTTGGTTCTTGTCCAGCACAGTAAAGTTTGGGGACACAACATTGTCAATCTGCGATGCGAGGTCCCAACTCATGGCGGCTTTCTGTCACATCACCCAGGCACAGGTACCGTTGATACTTGTACATGTACGAAGACCAAAGAAAAGGTTCGTATGCCGTACTAACTATATACTTCCGCATTACGCCTCCAACCTTGTGAAAGATACTGACAGCGTATTAATCCTCAAAATACCTAAAATGAAAATTTTCGTGCATCTAGTTATTCAATAATGCATCTACCGGTACCTTTGTTTTAATTAAAAACAAAAATAATCCCCTCATTTTCAATGTGTGCCCCTGAACTGAATAAAAAACATTGAAAATCGGCTTGTTTGTTTCTTTGGGGGATGCATAAGTACCAACGGTTTCTGTGGATGACGTTCACTAAGGACTCTTGAGAACGGTTTCACTAAGCAACTTATGACTCCATTTCCATACCTAGATCGATCTAGCAGAATCGACCTTTCTCCAAGGGGTTTCTCGGTAAATAACATTCAGCTAAAGCAGCTAAGATGCCTGGCGCGCCTTCTGGAGCTGGTTCACCATAGTCAATTACCCCCTAACATCTTAGGTAGGCGCGCCAGAAATCGGAACTGCTTAAGTAAGCGAGAAACCCGTCAGAGATGGGTCGATCCTGCTAGATCGATCTAGGTATGGGAACGTGGTCTAAATCAGATGTTTTTTGGGTCTCATCATTATAGGGATGAACAGTTATTTACTTTAAAAGTCTAACAGTCCAATTTTAAATGGTGATATTGAAAAAGACGTTGAAAAAGACAAGACCGATAAGTGATGTGTAAAGGAATTCTCTTAAACACCCAACTTGAGTTTTTTCTATTTTTTATAACTCGTGCACTAGCCCAAATAAAGACATTGTGAGGTACGAGCGCATTTAGTTGACAAAGACGTTTTAAACACTGGGTTGAAAAGTGAATTGTTTATTAACCCAAAAATATGCTGTCTGCAACGTGTCTAATTTTAATTAATTGCTGTAGGTAGCTGATTTGGAAAAGAAGATAAGGCTTCAACAAGAACAGTTAGTGAAATCTGATGCTTTGCTGTCGAATCTAACTGATACACTAGGATCCGCCTTGGAGAAAATCGAAAAAATGGAAGAAAAACTAAAAGGTAGGGAATCCCTTAATGCATAATAAATATTATAGTGTTAAATGCATTAAAGAGTTTTGGTGAACGAATGTTTGTGCATGTGGGGAGTGTGGGTGGGGGGAGTGCACGTGTGTTATCATTTGTTGGCATTGGGCGAACAAATGTTTGTGAATATATATTTTTTTCACTCACTAGTTTTTTGTTGAGGTTTTGCACCTTCCTATCATGATTAAAAAACTAGAACTTGCTGCACGCTGAATACTTCGTGGATATGGCACGGGTGTTAGTTTGGCAATGCTAAGATATTAAGCATGTGGCAAAGTGGTTATGATATTCAAGGTGCATTGTTGACACCAAAAAGCCAAACTGATGTTTGTACACTGAGAATAAAATCGGAGTCCAAGTGACTCCAAACTTGGAGTCCAGCAGTGGTGCCTAAAATAACTCCAAATTGGAGTCAAGATGACTCCAATGGAGTAGTGTCATCCCAGACCCCACCTTTTTACAAAATAGCACTTCTGAATTATTTTACTTGAACAGAACCACCAAAATACTTCATCACTTTGAAAATTCATTAAGAAAGCAGCAAAACCAAATTATTTGCTGGAAATAGAACTGAAAATTTATTTTATTCCACCAAAAATACCTTTTTCATTACAGTTAAATATTATTAAAAACAGCATAACCACATAAGTACTTTTTTGTAAAGAAAAATGAAAAGAAAACACATGCTTTATAACACCACCAAATTACTTTATTACGGTAAAAAATATGAAAAAAAAACAGCTTAATCATATTTGTTCTGTATTGTAAAAACTATAGCATCATCATATTATTTCATTGCACTAAAATGCCTTAAAGATTGCACCACCAAATTATTTCATTTTAGTTAAAACATGTTTTTCAAAATGGCACTTCAAATTGTGATTGCAGCTAAGCAATCTCATACCATCTCATACTTTCTACAAACTAGCTGCCACATAGGCCCTTCTTCCTATAGTGTTTTTCATAAAATAAAGTGCACTTGGGCAAAATGCATGTCGAAAAATATCCACTCGTGGTATAGTCGTGGTCCACCACTGCCGCCTGTAAGTCAGCTTTAGGGTAGGTATATCTGGTGGCTACATTAATCTTTGACACTGATGCGAAGTGATAGGTCAGATTCCTGAAGTAATCATTGTATCCTGCTCTATTTCTGAAGTTGGCTGGCCTGGGGTCCAGAAACCGACAGTTTGCATTGCCCCCAACATTATGGGCCTTCTCTGGAGAACCTTATGAAGAAAATAAATAAGTACATTTATTAAATGTAAGAAATCTTCGTCTTTCGTTCTATTAAAAAAAATATGAGCGTACTTGTACATAAATTAGTATACTTACATTGTAACATGACAGAATTGACGCTCACACACCGCGACTAATCTTTGATTTTTTCAAGGAAAATAGTTAGCATTCGTGTGTTTCAAGCACTAAATGAAAAGAAAACACATACTTTTCAATCAATTCACATTTTCTTCATGTTGTTTTGGCACCACATTTAAGTAATTCGCGTTTGAGTTGGTTCTCAGTCAGCGACGCGTGCCCACGCTCCATGTTAAACTCGGTGTAAAACCGCAAGCGAGATTTTAGAAGGACTGCTTTCACCCCCACGCCATCTAGCGGTAGACCCTCAACGCTGTTATACCCCATTGACTCCATTCACACATCCCTTCATCCCTTGATTTATCTCTACAAAAGAGTAACCATGACCCCATATTAAGGAATTTTTGACTCCTTGGCACATCATGAACAAAATCAACAACAACAGTGTCAAGGGCAGAGACCGAAAGTATTGTTTATTTCAGATTGTTGTGTCCCCGGACGGGCTCGAACCCACGTCCGGAGGCGGACACTCTAACCACTACACCATGCGGTCACATGCAGTCTTAGAGTAGCAATAACAAACAGTTTGTAAATCTGGTAATAAGCAGCATGGCTCATATATATATATATATATATATATATATATATATATATATATATATATATATACCAATGAATGAGCATACCTCTCCACTGACATGCATTGGTGGGTCAAATCAAACCTACAACCTAGAAACAAAACCTGCTGACCTGTTTACCGACATATCACATAAAGGGTGTGGCAACTGAAAGCCCGGACCAGTAATAAGTGCACGAGTTCTGCATGCAGAAACACACAGAAAACCACTTGTTCATGCATAAAATCAACTATGTCCAATAAAGTAATGTTTATACTGACAAAGGATGATGAAAACTGTTCTCTTCACGCCGTTTGCTCACTGCCATCACAAGTAATGAAACGAAGCTTACTGTCCAGCGATCGAAAAGAGTCGGTGAAAGGGGTCATCCAGACACTGGCCCCCGATAATTTGACTCTGATTTTAGAGTCAGATTGACTCCATGGGAGCCAGGGGGTGATTGACTCTGATAAGAGAGTCTAAAGCTCTGGTAGTGGGGTAATTTGACCCTTATATAGGAGTCAAATTAACTCCATGAGGGTCAAGGGGTGCTGGACTCTGACTAGAGAGTCAAATGACTCCAATTTTATTCTCAGTGTATGAAATTACACGACTCCTTTGATTAAGATTCACATTATTGTTTGGTGATGCTCACTAAGTTTAATCCCAAATGTTTTTTTTTAAATTCAAAACTTGGATCTAAAATAAAGCTGATGAAAATCGGACCGTTTTGGATGTCATATACCTGTACCTCGTTAGTCGCATCTTTCGACCGGGCGAGCACACAGCTGGTTTATCGAAAATTCAAAATTCATCGTTCCGCCATATATAACGTGTGAGTCTTCCTTTTTCTGTAAATTGTATATTTACCAGCATTTCTGATCAGCTGAAAATTAAACAAAAACATTTTAGACTTTTAGAGCTAAAACCATATTTTGTAATCCGACACATTTTTATAGATTTTTACAAAATCGTGTATTCTGCTTTTCAGAGTGTCCACTTGGTTTCGTTGAACTCGGGGGCAGCTGCTATTACTTCTCCACAGCTAAAAAGACTTGGCCCCAAGCTCAGGAGCACTGTCAAAGTCTCTCTGCCAATCTGGCTACTATAACTACCAAAGCTGAAAATGAGATGATTGCGGCCAATTTATCAGGTAAGCTCCTTTCCATTTGATTGAACAGATAGTTAAAATGACGATTTTCAAAGCACTGGGGTATATCAAATAACTCAGGGCTTCGAAACTTTTAGAGTGTATGGAAACTTATGAAGTTTAGGTATTTTATCATTTTAATATTTTTTATATACAAGAATATATTAATTTGGGTCAGAAGAAAACACAAGTGGTAAAAATACACTCAGAAAAAATTGCAACGGATTGGGGGGGGGGGGGATTAGGTCGCCTATTTCCTGCGTTTATCACCTTGTTTAAACTTTCTATTAAAAGTTTTAACGCTTATTATGTGGTATTGGTATGAGAACACTTTTTCTCTCTAAATTTTAGATTCAGTGCCCTACTGGTGGATAGGTGCTAACGACCGGGAGAGCGAGGGTAGATGGGTCTGGGTGGCTACCAACGCCACACTTACTTTCACAAACTGGATGAAAGGTGAACCTAACAATGCGTTCGAGGGAACAGAACATTGTGGGATGATTTACTGGAAAAAGGAGAAAAACCAGTGGAATGATGCACGATGTATTAGTAACTTTCAATTTGTCTGTGAACGCTCCCGAATCTGACGTCAATTTTAATCCCAGTACCAAAATGGCCATGTCATATTGCATACCCCCCCCAGCTACACCCTTTTTCTCCATTTTGATCATTGCTAAACAATTAATTCGTTATCTTATCCCAAAGCCCTGTCAGACGCATATTTGGTGATCTTGGCTCTCCTGGTTTCCAGATTATTAGTGGTCACCGGGGTGCACCCTGAGTTTAGATAGTCTCTGGGATCAGCTGCATGCTGAAAGTAGAGAGGCGAGTTTTTATTGACCTCTGCAATTTAGGGTGACAGGCTATGACGCACAAGGTTCACCTCTGTACAGCGTTCAACGTAGCTGTGACATCTGTCACATGCAGTTTATTTGGTTATTCAAATTTAATTGTTCTTGAAAATTACTAAAAAAAAAAAAAAAAAGCATAAGCGAAATGGCAATCTGCGCAGACAATTTTTCTAATAATCCTATGCATGGTGGATAGTAATGGCTGTCAAGCTACTGCAATGTACTGGTAGCTGATTCTATTTCTGATTTTTTCCTGTAACTTTATACATGTAGTTACAGTTATCATCTTCGAATAATTTTCCACTCAAGCAACATGAAGATCGCGATAACAGCTTTAGTATTAAATGAAACACGATCCATTAAAACAGTCTTTAATTTTACTCTGAGTGGAATATCTTTAGATAGCGAGTAACTTTACCCATGGCAAATTATTACAATCGTTCAATTTCCCAGAAAATAACCTGTTTAAGAAGGCCATCTCATATGTCTTAACAACAGACATCTTTAGTTTTATCTTAGTTTAGCAACAAGAACGTCTGTCGGCCATGCATCATCCGTAAGTTTTATTATCATTATTTTGAACTGAAAAAATAACACGTGTTTGAAATGTTTCTTCTGAAAATATGGATTTTTAATTACCATAAAAAATTCTCATCTTTTGACTTAATTGAGTGAATCGTCTATGTCCTCTCTCCGTCTGTACGCCTGTCACAATATTGTGCGAAAAAAAAAATTTAAAATAGATTAACGTGTCAGTCAAGGTCACTAAATTTCTATTGGCATTCCTTGATCAGTGCTCGATAGGATCACCATGAACTACTTAGCAAGGTCAACTACATGTACCTCTGGTCACCTGACACAACCATGGCAACTAGACGCTCTCATTTTATTACAGGTCGAGACATTTAATTTACATTGCTAATTTACTGCTTAAGAAAGCACGTTGAAGAAGAAGGATTGTATATTTGGCCAAAATATTTAGGTACTAATAAAGATGAGTAAAATCTTCATATTTTGATTTTGTTGACATTTCCTTTCTTCATTCCGTCAGACTGATGTATACAACATTTTGACAGAGAATCCATTTCATCTTCGAAAGATGCCGTTAAACGAAATTCATGGCTTGGCACGCAGCATAGAATAACTGATATATTGCTAATATAGCAATTATGCGCACATAGTTATTTATATTGAATAGTGTAATAAGATGACATGGGAAAACCATGCATTAGTACAGGATTCCAACAATGGGTACTGCAAAATATCGTGTGAAAGTGCAATACTAACCCAAATTATCTACTCGGAGTATTTTACCTCAAGATTACATGAATCAGTCAAATTCTAATGTAACAATAGCACTAACATTCAGGGGCGGATTCAGGCCGTCTTCTGGGTCTTCCGGAAGACGGTCAGATTTTCAAGTTTACATTGACGGGTATCTAATTTTGTCTGTCGGAAGACGGTCAAAAAATGGAGGATGGATAAACAAATATAATATGGAAGACTGTCAGAAAATATCTCTGGATCCGCCCCTGTAACATTGTATAGTCAAAGTTCCTGGGAGGTATTTCAAGTTTTTTTAAAGTAAACTTTGAATGATTTTCATTTGACCTGGTTTTGTAATTTGGAACATCAGTTATCATACTATAAAATTGTGTCAGACTTATAATTGTTGTCAGTGACTAAGTTGTTCGTAAACTGAAAGAGAGTAGGATTTACAAATTTACATATCAAAATAGTTACATAACATAAAGGATATGAAATGAGACCAAAATAAGTTTCGAAAATAAACAAACCACAGACCTCTTAAAGTTTGATAAAAGAAAAAGAGGAAAAGGGATATACTGGGGAACAATAAAGACCAAGATGAGTTCCAAAATAAATCACAGGGCACTAAAAGTTTGCTAAAGAAAAAAGTGTTTTACAACATTAGGTTCCGACCTGCTATGCCTTAAGGCCCAGTCACAATGTTGGCGATCTGTCGGGGATTAGTTTTGGCCGGGGGTCGTCGTAGAAAATAAAGAATCCTTGAACAATCCTAGCAATAATCCTAATAAAAGTGGAGCAGTCACATTGTCTGAGATTTTTTCAAGGATTTTGACCCGGTTTTGTCGAAAAATCGTGGGATTAGCCTCCGATTGCATCGGAGGCGATCGGAGACGATATCTGCGAGCGTGTTTTCTTGTAATTTTTTCCCCCTGGGTATATGTGGGGGAAAAGGAGGGTTTTCTGACCTCGGTCATCTGTTTTATATATATATATATATATATATATATATATATATATATATATATATATATATTATTATATATATACACGGCGATTTACAACGATTCCACCGTACGATTCGTCGGAGACGATCACATAAAGCGTACGAATCGTCGCAGGGCGCCTCCGATTCAGTCGAAGGGCGCCGGAGACTACTCGCAGACATTGAATCTCAACCTGATTTTCCAATCCCACACAGAATCTTGCGACTAGTCTCAGATTATTCGGAGGACGCCTCCGATTAATCGGAGGGCATCGTAGGTCATCGGAGATTGTGTCTGGGATGCCCAAAATGGGTGAAAAATCTTGCCAGCAATCTTAAAATTTTAAGTTCAAAGTTGGGGACCGCGACGGGTGTGGCGATGTCTAAAAAATCTGCGACAAACCGCAGGCGTCCGGAGAGCGCCTCCTACGGGTGCAAAATCGTGAGATCTGTCTCAAGATTTTGTTCAAATTTCCATCCCCGACGCATCGCAACTGATTTGTGACTGGGCCTTTAGCCTGCGGTTTGCAGATTAACAGGTAATTCAGATTTGATATAATCTAAAGCCAAATACCTTAACCCGGGGGATAATTATAATTATAGTAGTAATAATAAATTACACGCCAAACCTTTACAAGAAATTTTCAAGAGAATAATTCAAAGGAATCCTTGTATCTTGAGAAAATAGTAGAAGCAGTACATGGTTATCCTATTTCATGAGGCAAGTTATGGGAGTTATCGGGGTTGGGTAGCCCCTCCCTTTTTATCGACCTTCACGGGCAGGAAGCCAAGGGGGCAAATGGGGAGAGGGAGGGGAAATGAATATCCTCGTTCTTACATTCACCGGTGTTACAAACTAGTAAAAGTCAGTCATAACATATATAGACCCCCAACACGGAAATACATGTACTGAGTATGCATAAAATTTTGAACGTCTGGAAAAGATAACATAAGGCTTGGCGAGGCAGACAACCTCTAGTCGAAAATGACTTTAATTCATGAAATTTGAACATCTGGAACTTCTGAGCACCTCCCGTTTCAAGAATTTCAAACAAAATGATCTTTTCTTTATTTCAGTTAAGTTATTCTGTAGGAAATTTTATGGCACATTACTGTAACTCCAAAATTGTAACATTTAGTCCCTTATATCCCCAAAACTGGCAGAGATAGGTCCATAGTTACTATGGAAGTTGAATAGGAAGTCATATACTGGCAATTAAACTGTGACCTTGAATTTGACTTTAACCTACTTTTCACCATTAACTGAAGTTTGGAACATTTTAGTCCCTTGCATCTCCAAAACTGGCAGAGATATGCACACAGTTACTATTGACCTTGAATAGGAAGTCATATACTAGCAATCTAACTGTGATCATGAAATTGACCTTTGACCAACTTTTTGCCATGAATTGCACTTCACTAATTTGGATTTAACCTTTTACTTTTCCTCATGATTTTGTTTTAAATTGTAATTTTCAATAAAAATATTTAGAACTCTAGACTGCATTTTGTAGAGCTTGTCAAGCACAACACTGGAGGTGGTGTCCTTTTTTTTGCTTTTACATACAAATGCGCTTACTCCAGCTGGTGGAACAATACCCGAAGGCGGTATCGCCTCTCTGATCCTCTAGTTTTAGTACAATTTATACCTTGTTTATTTCATTGTTAATGGAAACATTCCAAACAGCTGTTTAGAGTGCTTTTATACACATAATTTTTTGTTGTTACTGTAACAGCCTTTTGCTTTTAACATTTTTTACTATTCCTTAGAGCCTTGTACAAAATGTGTATTGGTTAACAATACAATTTAGACCAACAAATGCTAGTCTGTGAGAGAAGTTATATAAAATTAATAAATACGCTGAAAAAAGTTTTCCTAGTTATAAGAGTTTTATACAGTATAGTGAAATCAGTGATGGCTTCTGTGAGAAAATACTGTAATATACCACCCCTCCCTCTCTTCTTTAGGATTAAAAAATAACAATAACTTTCCCATTTACTTGTGCCACACCACAAGTATTTAACATATAACTTTTTTTTAAACCACAAGACAAGTTTCATTAGAAACAAATAATTTATGTAATATATATGCTGAAAAGAGTTGCACTGATTCATTAGTCTGCATACAACAGGTAAATCTGGCTACTCCCCCCCCCCATANGCTTTTACATACAAATGCGCTTACTCCAGCTGGTGGAACAATACCCGAAGGCGGTATCGCCTCTCTGATCCTCTAGTTTTAGTACAATTTATACCTTGTTTATTTCATTGTTAATGGAAACATTCCAAACAGCTGTTTAGAGTGCTTTTATACACATAATTTTTTGTTGTTACTGTAACAGCCTTTTGCTTTTAACATTTTTTACTATTCCTTAGAGCCTTGTACAAAATGTGTATTGGTTAACAATACAATTTAGACCAACAAATGCTAGT